GCACTGTCGCGATACGGGCCCCGCCTGGACGAGCTACGCGCAGCGCCTCGCATCCGAGCCTGCGCGCGCGCCGCCGCCGCCGCCGCCCTTCCCGCCTTTTACCACGGGCGCGGCGTCGGCGGCCGTGCCCGCGCGCACGGACGCGTACGAGGACCCGTCCAAGCCGCCGTGGCTGCGCGTGCGCCCGCCGGGCGACCACGCGGCACAGAAGGAGTACGCCCGCCTGCGCGCCACGCTGCGCGCCCCGGGGCTCGCCACCGTCTGCGAGGAGGCCCGCTGCCCGAACATCGGCGAGTGCTGGGGCGGCGGCACGGCCACCATCATGCTCATGGGCGACACTTGCACGAGGGGATGCCGCTTTTGCAGCGTCAAGACCGCACGCGCCCCGCCCCCGCTGGACCAGCACGAGCCGGAGAAGGTCGCGCGCGCCGTCGCAAAGTGGGGGCTCAAGTACATCGTCCTTACCAGCGTCGATCGCGACGACGTGCCGGACGGTGGCGCCGCTCACATCGCGAGGACTGTCCAGGCGCTCAAGAGGGAGCAGCCGGACTTGCTGGTGGAGACGCTGTCCCCGGATTTTGCGGGCGATGAAGACTGTGTGGACCGTGTCGTCACGTCGGGCCTGGATGTTTTTGCCCACAACGTCGAAACGGTGGAGCGCTTGCAGCCGTTTGTGCGCGACCGCCGTGCGGGATACGCCCAGACAATGCGCGTCCTGGAGCGCGCGCGGGAGGTCCGTCCGCACGTCGTCACGAAGACGAGCATCATGCTGGGCGTAGGCGAGGCCGAGGCCGAGATTCGCCGCACCATGCAAGATGCCCGGGACGTGGGCGTGGAAGTTATCACCCTGGGCCAGTACTTGAGGCCGTCGAAGAAGCACTTGAAGGTCGAGCAGTGGGTCACGCCGGAGGAGTTTGACGCGTGGAAGGTCGAGGGAGAGGCGATGGGCTTTTCGTACGTCGCAGCGGGGCCGCTGGTGAGGAGCTCGTATCGCGCGGGCGAGTTCTTTTTGGAGTCGCTTATTAGAAAGAGGAGGGCCGGCGGCGAAGCTGTTGAGGACGTTGGTGCGTAAAAGCGCTTTTTCACTACAGTATTGAGAATCCTGATGAGAAGGGACTCGGAAATGCATCCATCTCTTCTTTTGGGTTCCTGTTTTGCAGCGTAGAGATGGCTATCACCTACTGTTTGTAAACGGCTACCAACAACGACGGCATTCATTTCATCAAACAACTTTCCTGTATATCACATGATGCTTCTTTTTATAAATGGAAATGGATAAACTCTCCCGGAACAATTCTCGTGACATAGACTGTACCAACATATTAACACGGCTATGCAACTTGCACACGGTAACTAAGTTGTTAAGCCAGGTTCATACATACCTGAATGAAGACCAAGACTCGACCACGAGTGCAAAACACCAACACTGCGGCGAAGAGGACGCATCTGAGCAGCAAACAAAGGCATCATCGTCGCGTCCTCATTTAAGATATCTATCGGCAATCCACTTGAGGCTTGTGCTCGTTTTCTCCAATTTCCTGACAAAATCACTGTTCACCGCTTCTAAATCGTGCTATGAACCCCTCGAATGACCATCTCCATGAGTTTCCAAGGTCGCATGTTTTCACCATCTTCCGTCTGTTCAGCGCCTCCTTCCTTTTCCTTGTTGCTTTCCTCGTCTGTCCCTTCACTGTTCTTCGCCCCCTCACTTGCCCCATCTGTCTCCGCGCCTGCATGCATCCCGCCCCCACTCGGTGTCGCCTCTTCATACTCGGCTTCCCTGACAAACGCCCAGGCGTAGTACACCGCACGAATATCATCCTCGCTCCCTTCCACTATATTCCCTCCCCTATCACGTAAACAGTTGATTTGCTGTGTGTTAAATGTGACGATCAAAACTGGAGAATCCTCTAAGACTCTACCTGCAGTGAGCTCGACATCGCTCACATCCAAAATATTAGTATCCATAACCACGCCCTCGGTATCCCGTTCCCGGATGGAAGCATTCAACATCGCATAAGCTCCTTCCGTGCACCCTTTCTCTAGGGTCGGGCGATCGCCAGACAAGTACGCACCGAGAATCTTCGGCACGAGTTCCATCTCGACCTGGCGCAAAAACTCGGAAATCCTGAATTGCGAATCTTCCTCGCGGATCTCACGCACGACCATCGCCATCTCATTCTCCGCGAAGAAGCGATCGTAGAAGTTCCTGAACATATTAATCACGGGATTATCCGATTCATCGATGTGCTCCGCGATGCGCTCCTTGGCATTAACAGCGCCCTGCATGAACGCGGAACCAGCAAAGCGGCCAAATAACCGGTCACGGATGGTCTGCTCCGAGTCAGCATCGTCCTCCCTTCGCTTTCTTCTTTTAACAGGGACGAGATCCGTTCGCCGGGGTGGCGGCGGCGGTGGCAACTCCACGCCTTGCTCCTTTGCCTCTGCGATAAAAGCGTCCTGCACGGCTACCTGCTGACCGCCCATAAGACCACGCATAAAGCCGCCAATGGCGCCAGGTTTTTCGTCTTCGGTACTCTCTTCGGCCCTTTTTGGATCCTGGCGGGCTTCTACTGGAGGGGCAGCGGCGTGGTTGGGATTAGGAGTGGCCCCTTCTTGTTCCGCATTTTGGGGGTGTTCTTCTTCGGTCTTCTTCGCATTAAGGCTGGCGTAGAAGCGAGTGACGGGGGGCAGGACATGAGATTGATTGAAGTGGTTTCGCTGGGAACGGGACGCTAATGCTCTTCCTCCACGGAGAGCTGCGGAGACCAAATGTCGGGCGCTCGACATGTTCGTTTCGCAGGCCGGTATTTCTTTGGACCTCCTCCTGGGTTAGCCCACCAGTACGAGGCGATGTGGCCGACGGACATCAAAGTGATGCTAGAGGCAAGATGAGGGTAGCAGAGCAGTACACGTCGCTGTCGTCTATTCCCAACAAAAAAAATTCCATGGTAAAAAATACACAAAATTTTAAGATGAGAAGATGACATCGCCGCCAATTAAGCGGCCTGTTGCTTTGTCCGCCATCAAGAATCCGATCGCTGCTGTTTGTTCAAAACACCGGTCGAGCGTTGATCGGAGCACCGCTGACGTTTTTAGACGTCGCCAAAGTCCACAAAACTGTCTGCGGGCGCAAACGCCGGCTCAGCAGGGTTGCAAGAGCACTAACGGCCAGCCCCCAGAGAACTGTTTCAGAGTACCATCTTCCGTCTTCGACAAACGTCCTGTTCAATGCAACAAATCGACGAGCCCAGATGGCCTTCGCTGACACCCCCAGCTCGAACCCACGGTAGCTTTAGCCACACCTCTTCGTGAATATGCTTCAGTTTCCACGATTTCACTTTTTGCACTGACCCCGATGCCACCGACGCGCGTGTAGACCATGTGTCCGACCTGTGAAACAGTTGTTAGCGTGCAGCAGCTTTGTTCCGAGAGGGGCTCGGTAGCGAGCCTGTGAGAGCAAAGCTGCGCCATACTTTTGGTACCTTTACCCCACTTTTCATGCTCAACACATGCCCGACAAGCCCCGTTGTTACAGTTTGAGGTGTCGAAATGTTGAGATTTGTGTTCTATTCCGCAAGAATGCGAAGTCTCTGTAGCATTAACATCTGAGAGAGGTAGCTGAAGCTTCTCATTGCCTTCTCTATAAAAAAGATCACTTTGGGAAGATCCCTCAAGCTCTGACATCGAGAATTGGTCCCATGACACTGAGTTCATTGATGGTACTGATAGAAGGCGATCTCGCCGTGCCCGCCGTCCCTTACGTCTCCGAAAACGCCTGACAACAAAGTTGCGAAGTTTGTCACCCGCTAAAACTCCCAGTACCACTCCAGCTCCTAGCGCTCCGAGAACATTTACTCCTTCGTCATTGGTGTCGTAGCCATCGTTTGCCAGACGCATGCGAAACGGTCGGCCGGAGTCCGAATCTGAATCATCATCAGAACCCATCACAAGGATATCACCAATACGTTTTGACCCGGCACAGCACAATAGAGTCGATGACGTTTGTAGGGTGGCCAAATATATTGGGGAAGACACGATTTGTGCTGGACGATTAGGGCGCGCCACTGCACCAAAAAACCTGGGCGGACGCGAGACGCACTTATAGCAGAGTTGCTCTAGTAGAGCATCACATGTGTTTCTCTGCCGCCCTCCAGGCTACACGTGCAGACACAAAGCATCAGACTCCATCCATCATCCCAATACCTTTGTCCATAGTTCTCCCAGGGAGAGATGAAAAACAGCATGCCATTGAAGTAGTGTCAGCAACCTGCTGTGCGGACCAGAGGACCATTTTTGCCTATAAATTGAATCAGGGCGCAACAAAGTATGGTAGTATCGCGGACTACGATGTCGTTAGGAAGGGTTTGCTAGGTCATGCTGTATAATGCCCCCACTCATTACTGTAAAATTTCTGGGTGTGGCGCAATACATTTAGTTCAGTCCGATAAAGATAAACGGAAGAGGAATTTGAGGTTAAATGCTGGGGCAAGGTCAGGGTTGAAGAAAATAAACGATTCCAAAAGTACTGTATGCCCGCAAGGTAGAGGAGGAGATAGGTTGCTTGGAACCGCACCCCAAGACAGCTCGGGGTGCATAATAGTTGAACGCACACGGGTGCATAGAGCTGAATGAGCCCAATAGTCAATTTACTGTGGGGAGGCAACAGTAATATGGTTAGTGTCCCTAAAAGACACATTTGTGAATTAGAAACTGGGAGTTGAAGTAGAGATCGTTATCGTCTATTCGCTCAGTAACGAGAATTCTTGCCTTTATTAGTTTGATATCACCTACTGTATAAAGCAAAAAAAACGTACTCAAAGCCTTCGGGGCTCTCCCTGTATGAAGGAATCACGATCGCTTTGAACGACAATCAGGAAGACGAGAGACTTCAAACAAAAGAAAAGTTGACCGATTCGTAAAAAAAGTGTGGGTGGCTCTCGAAAAAGTGCCAGGTAGAAAGGGCCTGACACACGACATTAAGGACATCCCAAAAAATTATAAAAATCGTCTCCACGTGCAGGTGCAAAACTATTGCTCAGCATACATCAATGGGTTTCTTTGACCTTTCTGCTAGCCAGCAATTTCAGATCAGAAGAAAAGGTAAGGTTTCTAACTCTTAGATACATTCAGTTCAAACTTTAAACGTTCAGGGTGCCAAAGAACTTTGCTTTTCGATCACAGCAGATTTGGACGGTGGAGGGCCAGCGTCAGACGGAACAAAACTACATCACTCCGTGCTGTAATATATCCCCAAAGAAATAAACTATACAAGAATTGTGCGTCTCGAAAGTGTCTGGATTGAATGTAGCCTATTGTTAGCTATTGTCGTAGGTGGAGAGTGTTGAAGAGTTCTCAATACGGTGTTGATGTTTCGAATGCAGTATGGCAACGACGCTGCATTTGCGTATCTTAGGAGTGTTTCAGTGCCATTGCATGGCCAATGTGAAACGTTCAGCCTCGCGAACAGAGAAGGAGTAGATGTCGCGTGAGGGAAGAAGAAAGGCCTCAAAAAGTGTATAGAGAGAGCACAAAAGGAAAGTGGAATTTAGCTTAGTGCTGATGGGCAGGGGCAGCTGTCTGTAAGCTTCGTGGTCAAAATTTGACCGTCAAATACTGTAGCACGCAGTGTTGCAGAGCAGGCTAACTGTAAAGCAATACGCCATTCGACGCGTGGAAATGCGCCGTGAAAGCGATGAGGCAATTGACTCCAAACTGATCAAGATGGAAAAAAGAAAACTGTATGGAGCTTTTGGCGCCTGCCTGCCTTACGTAATCCGTTCCACGTGTATGAATGCCATTCCATTCCAATACCGGTTGCGCCGCAATGGCCAAGTTTTTGAAATTTAAGCTTTATATTATCGCAGACCAACTTGCTCGCTCGAGTCCATACTTGTAACCCGAGGGCCGTTGAAGAAACTACGGATGTCCGCGTTGCGCATCCGCTTCCGAGCAAGTCCTGCCTTCACCTTCCGTCCCTCCAACGTTGCCTTCGCTACGTTCCCCATCTTATTTTGTATCCGCTTCCTCTGCATGCGACTAACCTTACGTGCCCCGTTCCTTAGCGGCCCTCGCTCCCCAGGTTCCCGAGCATCTATCGCAGGTTGCCCTCTATTTACACACCATACCTTGGCCGTCGCATCGTCTCCACACGTCGCTACCTTGAGAGGATCGGCAGCACACCATGCCACGCCCGCCGTCTCACCGCCCTGATGTCCCTCTAAACATATCAGTGGTTTCAGCTCTCCATCACATCCATAGTCGTCCAAATCCCAAATGTAAGCCTTAGAATCTGCCGATCCCGACATCACAAACCGTCCGCACGGCGAAAACCGTGCCCGAATGTAGAACGAGGTCTGTGTGTGTCCTGTTAACGCTACGGAATGTCCCAAGCTGAGATCCTTCGCGTCATATACATATATAGTTGACTCCGCTGCCGAAACAGCAAGCCGTCGTCCTGACGGATCGATGTCCAGAGAAGCGATCCCCTTGCTCCTGCGAGACGCGGAAGCACCACACCGCTCCTCCAATCCCGGCGTCGCCTTAGCGATGCAGTTAGCAGATATTCCTCCTAGAGTTAGGTTACCAGTGCCGCGTCTCCGCTCACTCCCTCGCAGATCCCACGACTTGACCGCCCCGTCCGCCGCACCTGCCGTGAACAGCTTGTACTCCTCTCCAGGCATGAACGCAAGCGACGTAACTGAACCGACCTGGTCGGCCGAGGCATGTGCGCGAATCCTTCTTCTCTTGGTAGCAGTGGCACCCACTCTTGACACTTCCCGCTCGTGAGCCCTCGGTAGCGTGAAGATGGGTGAATGGAAGACCTCTCGAGACACAGTCGGGTCGTATTTTGACGGGATGCGGGTATCGAAAGCGCGAACAGCGCCATCGCGGGCGGCCGCAAGCAAAACGTGCTTGGAGCCTGGGAGGTTGCGGACGGCCTTGACGGAGCCGGCGGCGCCGCGAAGCAGGGCGCAACGGAAGGAAGTCTCGACGTCGAAGACGCGGACGGTGGCGTCGCCGGAGGCGGTGGCGGCGCAGACGTCGCCGGGGAGCCAGACGGCGTCGAAGATGGCGTTGTCGTGGGCGCGGAAGCGGGCGACAGGCGAGGTCTCGGGGGTGGCCGCGTGCATCTGGGCGTTGAGCGGGCGGCGCGTGTCCAGGACGGTGAGCACCCCTTCTTCATCACCGCAGAGGAGCGCGTGGCCGAAAAGCGCCGTGCGCGAGAAGGATAGCGTGAAGGGTGGGATGGCTGACGGCACGCCGCCCGCCGAGACGTTCCAGAAGCCATACTCGTCTTGTGGGGTGGTGCGGAAGCCGCCGAAGAGAGGAGCGAGAGATGGGGCTGTGAGGGGGCAGAGACGGATGAGAGCGAGACATAATTGAGAAATTTGGTTAGCGATGAGGATGAGACAGGAGACGTTTGACTGGATAAGGACGAGGTCGAGGTAGGAAGGGCGGGGAGTTGAAGGAACGTACCGTA